TAATTTCAAGGTCCAACTCTGCCTAATTTATCATCTTTTCCCATCCCAAATTACAAGGATTTTTTAAATAATTAATTTCACTTTCTAAGAATTTATGTTCTAAAAAAATTGTCTTTTTGGGATTAACGTGTCCTCTTAGTGCACCACAGATGAATGAAATTTCCTTGCTTCTTCCTGCATTTTTGGTCAATGTCTCAGTTTCTCTATAAATAAGGCATTTTGGTTTAACCATTATTATTACTTTTGGTTCTTAGTTTATACTACATTTGAGTTATATCATTGGGAACTCTTAAAAACACATAATTTGCATTTGTTTGTAATTTTAATTTTTTTGGATGGTACCAAAAGTACAATCTCAACAAGAGCATGAAGGTTGTAGTGGCAAAATTCCAATTCAGAAGTCAAAATGGAGTCATTTTCATACAAAACAAGCATCAATAATGTACATTTTCTTTATTTGTATACTTATATTTCTGGTATAAAAATATATGGGAGAGATCCACTTACTCCAATAGCAAGTTTAAAACATTTTTTCCACATTATAGCCATCAATTCTTGGTAAATCCAATGGTTTGAATTAGTGATTAGATTTAAACCATTAGATTTCCTAGAATTGATGGCTAAGATGTGGAGTAAGTTTAAAAAAACTTATTCTCGAAGTAAGTGGATCCTCATCAAAATATATTTTTGTGACGATAAGGCTCGTATAATGGGAATACATCTGTTGTCCAAAAAATGTGAATATACTATAATTGTTTGAAAAATATATATTTAAATTAGAAGTTTGATGATTAAGTGTTTTTCTGATCGACCGACACATTTCTTGGAACAGAAGACGTGCTCTCCGGACCACCATTTTTTTCACCTATGGTTTTGCTGTTTGAGCTCTAAATTCAATTTTCTGTTTATTGTGCAGTGGCCTGAGAAATGTAATAAACTTGCAATGCTTGAATGATCATAATTCATACTTGGAAAATTTCCTGAGAAGATTGGTAAGTAATAAATAAATCTATTATCTTTGTGATAATGTGTTCAGAAGGATCTTCTATATTTGAAAGTACCTATCACAATTCACTACCAAGTTTAATGTTATCCTCAATGTTTCTCAGATGTTGTAATTGCTATGTGCTAACTATATATAAGGAACATCTTAATAAAGTACTTATCATTATATCTTAAAGTTTTGATTATGTATTTTTTGATAGTCACGATTTTGCGAGTTGAGTTTTAGAGGGAAATGACGGGAAAAGATGACTTAAGAGCCATAAAATACACTAGTGAGATGAGTCTAAAATCTTCACTTTCACTTCCCTCCCTTCTGAAATTCAACTCACAAACAAACCCTAACTAGATTAAGAGGTGCATACTCACTTAAAAAGTCATACATCTTTTCTTCTAATGTTATCATCCTTGTTGATATGTACCATAGAGATTCGGCGTAGTTTTACATTGGTTCTCTAATGTCAAGCATAACCTCCATCTTTTATTTGGGCTTAGGATCAGTTGTGTATAGCATAAACACACATAGGTATGATATAAATGTATTATGAAAAAGTTGCAATAACTCCTATTATTATAGAAAAGATGTTAGAATCACGTCTTGGGCAGTTTAGGCATGTGTCGAGAAGAATCTTTGTAGCCCCGAGGAAAGAGAATTATCAAAAGGAGTTCAGTCCAATTTCAAGAGGGCCCAAGAAAAGAGCCATAGGCAAAACAATTACGAAAGATTTAGAGATAAATGTTTTGTTAACAGATTTGATTTATGATGGAATATTATGACGTGTTCGATCCATGTAGCCGATCCCACCTAATAATGGAACTAAGGCTTGGTTGTTGTTGTTACCTGATCGATTCATTTTTATTCCTCAAATAGGTAAGAGAAGTGGTGGAAAGCAAAATCCAGGATTATCAATTTCCAAGGTCTGTTTTCATGTCCTGATTCTATGAGTTCAATATTGTTAACTTTTTCTCTTCCTTACAGCATCATATATTTCCATATAATTTTGTTGCAGACCAAGGATTAATAATCAAGCTAGCATATCTGGAACCAAACTCTTCCAATTATGTTTCATTAATAAGTTACCTGATAGAATTTTCAGCCTCTCTAATATCATAGCAGAAGATAAATCACCTCTTCAAATTGCACTATTTGATGTTAGTACTAAATCTATAGTAAAAAATGGTCCTTTATCCTCAATAAAGATAGAGATATGTGCCCTCAATGGTGACTTTGGATCAAGTGAGGATTGGACTGAAGATGAATTCAATGCTAATATCTTGAAAGAAAGAGAGGGTAAAGGGCCATTAGTGAATGGTGATAGGTTCATTACTCTAGAAAATGGTGTTGGTTGTATTACAAAAATGACCTTAACTGATAATTCAAGATGGTTAAGGAGCAGAAAGTTCAGGTTAGGTGCTAAAGTTGTGCAATCAAGTTCCATTGGGACAAATATTAAGGAAGGTAGAAGTGAAGCATTTATGGTCAAAGACTATAGAGGAGAATGTATGTCTTGAAAATTCTGTTCTTTTTCTTTTTGTCTTTGTCTATTACATACTAGGATATAACTATTGTTATCATGAAACTTTAGTATCATAGTTTGTTTGTTGTTTTTACAACTACAAAAACTGACATGTAATTTGGTCTATGAAGCATACAAGAAACACTACCCTCCGTCGTTGCACGACGATGTATGGCGTTTGGAGAAAATTAGCAAAGGCGGAAAAATCCACAGGCGGCTCGCTCTCGATGGAATTCACACTGTTAAGGATTTCTTGCAGTTATACACAGTTAATGAATCTTTATTGCTTGAGGTAAAATTGTTTCTCTTTTTGTTTTCTTGTTTTACATTTTATGTATGTGTTCATCGGATTTTTTCGTCCCGAGATGCAGAAGTTTGGAAAATTTTCGAAGAAGTCGTGGGTAGCGATTACTACACATGCCAAGACTTGTGTCATAGATGATTCAAATCTTTACATCTATCAAACAGAAGAACCACCAATAGTGCTGGTTTTCAATTCAATCTACAACCTTGTTGAAGTGACTTTTGATGGCCAAAATTATTTTTCACCAGAAACTCTCACCCCTAATGATAAGGTAATGTTTATATCCAATTCTCATTTGGTTGAGAAGTGAAATTTTAATGAAAATTTTGCTTCTGAAATGTTGGTTCCTTAAATCATTTTCATTATTCATTGGCAGATTGTAGTAGAACTAGTCAAGCAACATGCTTACAAAAATGTGAATAAAAATTTGAAATCGATCGATGAGACTTCGTTAAACTGCGTAAGACCATCGGCATTTCTAAGAGCAAGTCAATCTGATGCTCCAGATCAAGTTAAATTTTCAACAGCAGAAAATATATGTAAGTATAATTTTCTGGCTATTCCATTCACTGCCTTAAAAACTTTCATGTTTCTTATGTATGTTACTATAAGTTTTCGATCTCGGCCGATTTCGCCAGTTCTGCTTTTCATGTTGAACTCTTCTTTGCTATAATCTGTATTATGCAGATGAACAAGAAACATGGGCAGATAATAATCAATCATTCATATCTGCTTCATATATACATGATTACCAAACTTATGCTGATCCATTGCTAGACCAAAGAGAAATGCTGCAAAAAAGTTATGCAGAAAGTGATTTTTTTCTCTAATTGGGACCTTCATGGATCATATTTTCCACTTGTTGAAGGTGGTTATTCAACAGAGAATGAAAGTTCAGATATTCAACTCATAAATGATTATCCTATTTATACAACATTGGAGCCAGAAAATGGGTTTTACTATGATACTTTTGATGGAGCTGAATTTAGTACTCATTCATCTTTTCTTAATTCTTCTTTTGATATATCAAACAGTGAGAAACCTAAAGCAGTGTGGCATAAGATTCTCAAATGTCTCATATCAATCAAAAGGGATGCATCTGCCAGAAGGAATTCAAATCTATTTTATGACTAAATATTCATTTCAGTCCCTTACGAGTTTATTCCTCAAAAATTAGTCATTTCAAGGGTCAAATTAATCTCTATGAGATGTTGTCAAACATACTAAAAGGACTAATTTGACCCACTACTTAAAAAAATTGGAAACCATTTTGGATTTTTCAATTTCGAAAGATCAAACTATAAGGTCGAAAAAGAGTGATATAATTAATTACTCTAATTATTAAACCCTTGTGTGATATCCATTGTTTGGTTACTAAGTAGAATATGTCACAAAAGTCTAGGATATAAGTTCCCTAGCATGTGTCTTAGTATATTTGTGTCTAAGAAATTGATGGCATCCTTCAATTTCAATTGAAGTGAAGAGAACCCTAAGATAGGACCCTGCTGTAATTTATGGTGTCAAGTTATCAATTTACAATTTGTGCCTGTTTTCTGTAAAATTAGTTTCATATATACACTGTAAAATATTCACATAACATCTATGTAAGAAATATTTTATATTGGTTCAAAATAACCATTTATATGTTTTACTGTTATTACAATTTAAATTATATATATTTGTTTGTATTTGCAGTGCCAAAATGGACAATATTTGTGGTTGAATTTAAAAAATAAATTATGTACACAATTTATTAATACAACCCCACAAAACTATTCATGATGTGACTATAATTGTCTTTGTTGTTGCCAACTTTGGAGGGTGTAGTGTTGGAACTTGTGTTGTTTGGTTGGATCATATTGTTGTTGAACTTGGTCCATTTTAAGTGGTACTTGAAAAATCACTTTTTGGGCTATAGTATGAGTATTTATAAGAGCATGATGGTTAGAAAGAAATAGAAAATACATTATATTTTCACTTATTTATACTGATGTGGAGTAACTTGATTCTAAGTAAGACGACATAATTTTCTCAGTAGCTTCAAACAGAGATACTGATGAACTTGGATAACCTTTGTCGCATAGGTAATATGAAATTATCGACAATAAGGTGAAATGACCTTGCAATTAACAAAGAGGAAGCTCTTACGACATATCAAGTAATGACATATCATATCTTTGTCGTCTTTTCCCGAGAGGGGTGCCTTCGGGAACGCGGACACAGGTGGTGCATGGCTGTCGTCAGCTCGTGCCGTAAGGTGTTGGGTTAAGTCCCGCAACGAGCGCAACCCTCGTGTTTAGTTGCCAATGTTGAGTTTGGAACCCTGAGCAGACTGCCGGTGATAAGCCGGAGGAAGATGAGGATGACGTCAAGTCATCATGCCCCTGATGCCCTGGGCGACACACGTGCTACAATGGCCGGGACAAAGGATAGATCGGAACATACTCAACAAACTAAATATTATATTCGCGACCCTTGGTATATAACTGATACTGACACGTAATCAACCATAGATCACTCATAGAAACTAAAATTCTAGACAAGTATACAATCTTTGACTTTGAGTGGCAGAGAATGTAATATTCGCAACTCCAAGTGTCATTTATATACCCAACAACAAAAATATCTAGCTTCCATAGTGTCTCGAAGTTTCTTCTAATATATCTCTCCCGCGAAAACTAAAATTAGATATTTTTCTCTCTTCCTTTTCACTTATTCTTTTTCATCTCTATTTCCCTTTCAGTTTTTGTTTTTTTTTCGTTTTATTAAATTCTTCTTCTTCTTCTTCTTCCTTCTTTCGTTTGATGGATCAAGGAAGAGGAGGATCCAACGGTGGATCTTGTTACTACTCTATTCTAGGGATCCACAGAGATGCTTCCTCCTCTGATATACGCACTGCTTATCGAAAACTCGCTATGGTAATCAAACGACATCGTTTCAATATTTTTCATGTTTTCAATTTCAGAGTTTAATTTATATAAATATTGTTTTGTTTTTGTTTCAATTTCAGAAATGGCACCCTGATAAATTTTCTAGAAACCCTGCTACGGTTGGAGAAGCTAAGCGACGGTTTCAACAAATACAAGAAGCATATTCAGGTTAATTTGTTTGCATTATTATTATGGTTAATTAGTGTTAGTTGTGATTTTGATTTGAAGAGTGATGAATGTTATGTTATTGTTTTGTGGTGACAGTTCTTTCGGATCATTCGAAAAGGTTAACGTATGATGCGGGGCTTTATGATCCATTAGAGGAAGATAATCAGGTTCTAATTTTTGTCTGTAAGGATGAATCCTCTTACTTTACATCATAGTCATTCATTCGTGGAAAATTCAATAATTCAGTCACTAATTTTAACCATTAGATTTTCTAAGAATGAATGACTACGACGTAGATTAGGTTTTTTCCAACGGTATATAGATAATTTGATTTTTTGCATATTATGGTACCGAAAATAATTTAGTGACAACTTTATATAATGGGAAAACACAAAATAACCACATTCACCAATGTGGTGTAATTTTTATTTCTTATTTTGCCTTTACTAATCTATACTTTTAACAAAAAAAACCATATAACTTATTTCCTTATTTTATTCAATGTTTGTTTATTTAACTTTTACCGTTTTTTCACTTTGAACACAATAGTTTATAATTACACTAGTTTTAATTATGTGAAAACTTAAGCAAATTTTAATTTTTATAGTCTTAAAATTTTAACTGTTATTTATCTTGAACAAAACAACTATAGGATTCATAAAAAAAACCAATTAAATGTATTGTTCCTTTAAACAAATATTGGTATAATTGTATATATGTATCTTTTTTATATTATAAAGATAGTTCTAGACTTCTAGTACTCTTTCTTATGTAAGATTCTCTTTTACTAAACTATATTTTATATTATCTTCAAACTTTGTCTTGAAATAAGAGAATTCATCTAACTCTTATTGGCTGATAAAGTAAAAGTCTTTGAATTAGTATTTTTTATTAATTAAATAATATTAAAAATCCTCAAGTTCAATTCTCTTCACATATTCCCATTATTTAAATACTTGCTTAATAGCAATGCTATTAAACTTAGTAGAATATCAAACTAAAAGATGTTACGTACTGTTAAACTGTCCGATCAGACTAATTGATTTGATATATATTAATAATTTTTTTTGTATAAATATATAATTATATATAAATTTAAAATTAACAGAAGTGATGCTTCATTTTTGCCGTAGGGCATGGTCCTTTTAATTTGTGTAGGTTTTGAATTGATTCAACTCTAAATTAGGTACAATTTGTCTTGTTTGTGGACACAGGAATTTTGTGATTTCATGCAAGAAATGATCTCAATGATGAACAATGTCAAAGACGAGGTAGTGATTCATATCGATTTTTAACCACATTTTTTTTTTTTTTTTTTTGTAAAACTTAAGAAAATACATAAATAGAAAGCCTTTAGTAATTGTCCTATTTTTTAGGGGGACAGTTTGGAGGACCTACAAAGAATGTTCATGGAGATTGTCGGTGGAGATGAGATGAGTTTTGAATTGAATCATGATCCGACGGCTGGCAAGAGAGGACGTGTCGGTGGATCAAAGGGCAACGCACCTAAGCGCACCAACTCTTGCTGTTAGTGCAATGCACTGGATCCATGTAAATTTTAATCTTTAATCTTATGCCCTATTGAATGATTGAAATTGAACACTTTCAAGCTATATTTAAGTTATGGGGTTTTAGTTTGGAACAATTAATCAATTGCAAATAATACACCATGTCCATGTTTTTTTATTGGTAATTGCATTATTTTCAAAAGATAGGTAATGGCATAAAAAATTGTAGAAAAACAAAGTAATTCATTCTTAAAGAAATAAAGTCTTACTATGTCTTTAGGAATTACATTCACGATTAGTTGTTGGGAGGGGATCCAATTACTCCAAGAGAAAGTGAAAAAAATTTACTTCACATCTTAGTGATCCATTTTTTAGAAAATCCAATGGTTTAGATCTACTCACAAATTTAAACCATTCAAATTTCTAAGAATGAATGATTATGATGTTGAATATGTATTTTCCACTTCCCTTTAGCTGATTTAAAATTCTTATAATTTGTTTGATTTTATTCATTAGGTGGGTCCATCGGGTTTGTGTGGTTGGGAGTGAGTTTCTATTACTACTAGTGTCCTATGGATATGTTTGGTGGACCTTAGTTTGGGTTATTTGTGGGAGTGAAATGGAATTTGAGGCTAGGGTATGTCTCATAGTGCCTTGTCTTGTGGCCCACTTTATAATTTTTTATCAAATTAATGAAATCTATATATTCTACATCAAAAATGTTTGATTGGTTGTTTTTAACGTTAAGCAACTCGATAAACGAAAATCAACATTGAAAATTCAAACATATTTTCTTTCATTTTAGTAAATTGTTTATTAACGAAAAAATATATGCACTTTTTCTATTGTTATAACTCGCCATTTATATTCATTATCATTGATTATTGATTTATAATTATAAAGTAATATAAATAAAGGATATTATATAAATATTTTTATATTGACTATATATAGATAACACTATTCTATTGAAGACTACTCTTAGACAAATTACTCTACACTCAATAATTTACATAACACAAAAATATTCTTAACCAAAGACTTTAACGAAATTAGAATTACAATTTTTTAATCACAATTCAAATTTGATGCGGGAAATAGATCTTAATATCTAACCTGATTATACTTTTGGGGTATTATATTACTTAAATGGGTAGGGATCCACCTACTTCAAGAGTAAGTTTTTTAAACTTACTCCACATCTTAGCCATCAATTCTAGGGAAATCCAATAATTTAGATATACTCACTAATTCAAACCATTGAATTTCCCTAAAATTAATGGCTAAGATGTGAAGTAAGTTTAAGAAACTTACTATTACAGTCAATGAATCTCTTCTCTAGTTAAATTGTAATAACTAACTTTAAAGAAGCCGGGCACAATTAATAGATAAGTATGCTTTGAGCATATTGATAGAAGCTAATTTCTATCACGTACATGATAATACTTTTAGTGAGAAAAAATGTATGTAATAACATTATATGAGATTATTTATACTCTTAAAAAATAATTTAAATGAATGGTGAATGATATTATGTTTTTGTTCTTAAATTGAAAAACAATGTATTAGGGAAGAGTTTGAGACCTTAAAGTTGTATGAGCGGTTTTACTGAAAATTTGATGATTCAAATTCAGTAGAGTCGAGACCTTAAATGTATTTAAAACAATTGTCTTCTGAAATTCATTTTTACTTTCCAACTTATCTCTTCAATAAAAGTTTGTTAATCTTTTAACTCGGAAGTAAATAACATCTTTGTTATTGGGGGAAACGTGGAAAAAGGAAGAGTAGGACTCATCTCCGTTAATTGAGAGACAAATGATTTTTTTATGTGTATTGTAATGACAAATATATAATATTCTTTTAAATAAAAATGACAAAAGTAACATTACATTTTACACGTTCTTTGATTTTTTTGAGTAATTACTTCTCTATTAATGAAGAGGAGTCTTACTCAAAAAAGAGATCTCTTACGTTACCCATATTATGGGGAAGTAGCTACATAATTTCATAAAGTCGTTCAATCTAAATGGTATATGAAGAACATATGGTAGATGGTAGATGGAGAAACATGAAGACCTAGGACATAGAAGAACACAACATGGGTGATTCAACAACACAACATAAAAATAATAAAAAATGTTTATATTTTTTAATTGATGTGATATATTTTTATTAGTATGATATATGATTTAGGAAATCATGTTCAATTAAACCTGAATAAATTTGTAAAAATAAACTCAAACCACAATCCAAACAAATGTAGATTTATTGGAAAACTTTACATTAGTTGAGGAGTTAAATTTTGAAAGAAAATAATCTTTTTTACATGGATAAAAGGTGTCTCGATATTTCCATTTATCAGTGACGTGTGACTCAGTGTAGGAAGGAGATTCTTACACGTCATAAGGACACGTGGCAGTGTTGTCAGGCATTTGAGTCATTATGAAGGACACCCTTAAGATTTTTGTAATTAATGTTCCTTAATAATAACTCTACTAGTACAATCCAATTCGGTGATTCGGTTACTACTCTTGTCTTTTTCATTACCTTTTAATTTTGTCTTTGTGGAATCATTTAATTAATGTTGAGATTGTCACTTGTGTTTTATCATAATGATGGATCTCAAAGACAAGGTACATAATAATGGGTTTTGATTTGAGGTATGTGATTTTTGTTAAACATTTATGATGATATGTTATTAATGTTGATTGTTATTATATTATGATATAGGAATGGTTATGTTATGAAGAGGAGTTGAGTGAAACCAAGAAGTGTTGTAGTCA